GTGGCCCCGAGATGTCCAGCGGTTTGGGCTTCGTGAAGCTGCTCAAAAACAGCGGAACGAGTGTCGCAGGAGCTAAGAGTAGTAGCTCTGGTCTCTCGGTGCTGGTGTTGCATCGGTAAAGAATGCCATCACATAGAATGAACAAGTGTAGCGATGGCAAACATAGACGGTGCTTGATAAGACTGCAAGTAGACATTGCTGAGCTGTTCCTTGCGTATAATGGTGCAAGCAGATATGGCGAAGACACAAAGGTCAGAATCATGTGCTGAAAGGTCGGATGGGTCCATGGGATGACGGGAAAGACAGCATCCTGGTGCATTCAGCCAGATTTGTATGCCACGCCAAACCTGTAGTTTCAAGGTCCAAAGTTCAAGTCATCCAGTTGGATCTTTTAGGGACGACAGCCAGCACAGGGTATGGTGATCCATAATTGCTGAAAAGGTGTGGCCAAACAAGTATGGTCGAAATTTTTCCGACTGCCCAGACTAGCGCGAGGCACTCACGCTCCGTGATGGAAAACTTGCTCTTCAAAGAAGAAAGGAGGCGACTGGCATAAGCGATGACGCGATCTTATCCTCGTTGCCGCTGGGCAAGAACAGCACCGATGCCATGCCCACTGGCATCGGTACGAACTTGAGTATGGGCTGATGGGTCAAAATGGGCCAAGATGGGTGGGAAAGTGATATTATAATTGTACTGAACACAGTCGCTTGGTCAGTACCCCAGTAAAAAGGCACTACCTTCTTTAGTAGGTACGCGAGTGGTCGGGCAATGTTGGCGAAATTCTTCACAATACTTCGAAAGTAAGAACACAGGCTGATAAAGCTCTGTACATCTTTCACAGAAAGTGGTACGGAAAAATCTTCGACAACTCGAATTCTGCATGCCTCGAGTTGGATGCCAAGGTTGCATGCCTCGAGCACTGACGAGGTGGCCCAGTACAGTGATTTTCTGGCACCCAAAGTGACATTTGAAAGAGTTGAACTAAAGGCTTGCTGCCCAATAAACCTCAAGAACAGCCGACATGCGGGTAAGATGGCTTTCAAATGTGGGTGAAGATACGATGAAGTCATACAGATAGCACAGGCACTTGTACCATTTGTATTCACGCAGGAGAGAGTCCATCATTCTATCAAACGTAGCTGGAGCATTACACAATCTGAAGTGGATAACACTGAACTGGAAAAGCCCATCCGGTTTAATGAATGCGGTTTTCTCATGGTCTCAATGACCGACAAAAATCTGCCAGTATCCTGATCGTAAGTCGACAGATGAGAAGTAGGCAGACCAATGTAGGCGGGCGAGAGCATCGTCAATCCACGGCAGTGGATACACGTCCTTCTGTGTTACTTTGTTTAAGTGATAGTAGTCTACGCAGAAGCGCTCGTTTCCGCCTTTCTTCTTGACTAGCACAACTGGCGATGCCCATGAACTGGAAGATGGTTCAATGACGTCTTTGGTGAGCATTTTTTTTTTTTTTGTGCTGGATAACTTGTCGCTCAGCATGAGACACCCGACAAGGACATCATCGTATGGTGCTGGCTCAGTGTTAATCTTATGAGTCACAAAGGATGTCTGACCCAAAGGGAGGTCCTCAAAGTCAAAGGTGTCACAGTAAAATTTCAGCAGGCGCCAGATATTAGCTGTCTGTGCTGGAAGGAGGTGAGGGGCGATCATCTTGTCGACATTGGCATCCGCTGCGCTCTGCTAGGAGAAGAATGAAGCAGAGTATAAAGAAACATCGGCAACGAACGCCAAAATGGCAGCATTGATGGAAGAGACTTTTGCCAAAGTCATACTATCTGGGATAACTTGAATGTGCCAACTAAGTTTAGGATAGGAAGAGATCGTGCATTTTCCGTGGTGGTCAAAAGTGTCTGAGGCATGGCAACATTTTTGGCCAACAAAACGTCAGTATTAGGTGTCGACATGTAATCACCGTCTGGAATATAAGGAGCAGACCTCAGGTTCACGTAGGTCTTGAGGTGCTAGGCGAATGTAATCTACAGAACATGGTGTTGGGTCATCATGGTAACACGGTAAATCAAGTTGAAGCACGCCAGTTCCACAATCAATAAAGGCAGAGTTGGAGGATAAAAAGTCCATGCCGAGGATCAGTTCAGGAGAACATTTCTCGAGCACAGCAAATAGTACAGTCGTGGAGTGATTGGCAACACCTATATGCACAGAGCACATTCCAAGCATGAGAAACGTGGCACCGTTGGCGGCCTGAATGGGTGGTACTGTGGGTGGCATTAAAACTTTGCTAAGGCGGCAACGAAGTTCTGCATTCATGACTGATATGTGAGCCTCTCTGTCCACAAGTGCAGCAACACGTGTATCGTCTATTTCAACATCAATAAAGTAGCGTCTAGTCGGCAGCATGGTCAGAGGATTTGTCAGGCAAGTGGTCAATGCAGCATCACCTCTGGGAGCTGCATCATCTAGTTTTCTCCTGGCAGGTATTCAGTCAGCGACTTTGTACGGTGAAATTGGGGCGAGAAAAATGATGGGCGAAGGGAGGGCGGCAACGAAGTGGTGAACAGGTGAAATGGGCTGGTGAGCATGCGGAGATGGCTAACAACGGTGATACAGCGGCATGGAAGGAACTTCTTCACTGGTGGCTTGAGGCAATTCCCAGTAAGGTTAAAAACGTCCATGATCCTTCTCTAGACGACAATTGTACACATAGGATGCCTGATGCCAATACCACCGGGTGTTACAATGGCAGGCCACATGTCCAATACGACGAAAGCTGAAGCAAATCGGACGATCGTCAGTAGTCTTCCTCTCGGCAGGATTGCGAGGGCGCACCAGAAGGTTTTGACTTAGGGGGCATAGGAAACAGGGAGTCGACAACGGTCGATCGGCTGAAAAGGAGTTGTAGTGCACTCGGAGGCCAGTCCAGCATGGAAAAGACCTTGCCACACAATGGCATGTACAAGCGGCACCATCTGAGTGCTAGAGTCACAGGCATGAGAGCACGTGGACGCAGGAGACAGAGCTTCAAGTTCATGTCTGATGATCTTGGTCAGGTTCTATGCAGTTAGCGGCACCTGTAGTACGGGCCCGTCCGCACGATCAGGTTCTGCCGTATTGGCAAGTCGGGTGAAATGGTGGGCGATAAGTCTACTTTTTGCGGCCTCAAAACGCTGGCACTCCTTGATTATGGCATCCACTGTATTGCAGTCCTTGCACATGAGAAGGTTGAATGCATCATCTGCTATGCCTTTCAATATGTGTGCTACTTTCACAGTTTCTTTTGATTGATTTGATTGATTGATATGTGGGGTTTAACGTCCCAAAACCACCATATGATTATGAGAGACGTCATAGTGGAGGGCTCCGGAAATTTTGACCACCTGGGGTTCTTAAACGTGCACCCAAATCTGAGCACACAGGCCTACAACATTTCCGCCTCCATCGGAAATGCAGCCGCCGCAGCCAGGATTCGATCCCGCAACCTGCGGGTCAGCAGCTGAGTACCTTAGCCACTAGACCACCGCGATGGGGCTTCACAGTTTCTTTTATGCCGCTGTCTGCTTTTCAGCAAAGGGCGATCACGTCCTGTATGTACGTCACGTAGGACTCTGCTGACATTTGCGCACGAGATGCCAATTCCTTCTTGGCCGCTGCCTCTGTACCCACAGACTTGCCGAAAAGGGCGCGCATCTTTTCTTTACGTGCATCCCAGCTTCCAATATCTTCTTCGTGGTTCCCAAACCACACTTTTGCCGTTTCGTTCAAGTAAAACAGGATGTCGGCCAACATAAGAGTTACATCCCAGCGGTAATTTTTACTTGTACGTTCATACAACGGCAATCATTCTTCAATGTTAACATTATCAGTGCCATAGAACATGCCAGGATCTTTTACCTGCGAAAGGACAACAGTTGTTGTGGTCGCCTTAGCAGGAGCAGGCCCCTGGTTTGCCATGGTGGAAAAATCCAAACGTCGGCCACTGCGGAGATCCGTTATACCGTGTTGTACCCAGCACCTCCATCAAATGTCACGGGACTGAGAGTATGAATAAAAGAAATATATTTTTAAAATATACTGCCAGTCATAGGCAGCTGCAGCCAAGATAGCGAAACAGCAACAACAACACAACCGCGATCGCACTCGTCGTCATCTGACACTACCTGATGTCGTCTACCTGATGCTGTGTCGTTTCCGATGTCCGTGTAACAATATTCCACAACACTGAACAACATAACAAACACAAGGTGGCGGCACCAACCCTCGACTCACCATGAGGGCCTGTGAGCAACGACCCGTGGTGCCGTCCTCGTGGGCCCACCACGAGAGACAACCTCAGGTACCGCCACCCAGGCTTGCCGCTAGGCATCATTGACGGCGCTACCGCGCTAACCATGATGATAATGATGGTGGTGGTGGTGATAAAACGCTTGCGAGCACAATGTCACCTACAGCTCGATAGTTGTGAACCCTAAATACAAACTATGCGCGAAACATGTGTGCCCCGAGGCACAAACAGCTTTACAGGGGTGATAGCACTCCCACAAGCCACATACAGAGCAGATGCTATATGTTTGCCAGCACAACTTGTCCTTTCAAGAAGAGACCGGAGACCCGTGTTGTGTTTGCAGATGGCAACAAGGCGCTGTTGGCAGACCTGTCTTTCAAGCAAGACCTAGCCCTGACATACTTTTCAATGTTTTGCAGTTCTGAGTAATGCTGAAACCAAAAAACTATTACCAATTTTTTGAAATAATTTTTTATGACTTTACACATTTCGTAGATTCAAAAAGTGCATACAGTAACTTGACACACCTTGAAAATTATTTCTCTGAAAAATTTGACACTGAAGTTGTTAACATACCAAAAAATCTAAGTACAGTTTTCTTTCAACACTTTGGCCTTAGCGTAAAGCGTTTCACAGATATCTTGCACACACACACACAGCACTTTGGTGCTTTTTTTTTTCACTTATATAGCGTCAACAACATTGCTTGTAAGAACAATAAGTTGTTACGTACTTTGTCAAACCACCGATATGACTTAATCATGTCTGTATACAAGGATGTCCTGTCCAAAGTTGGATCTTGACACAGGTGGCCAGTGCTTCCCAGGCTGAGAGGTGCATTAGGAGACCCAAGCAGTGTAACAGCTGTTTCCAACTCCCTGCAACAAATAAAGCATTATTTAAAATTTGATGACATCATATTTAAAGATATTAGAGTGTTTTGAGTGGAAGAATCAAGTGACAAAAACTTCAGCACTGCTTATAACTTACTGATAACCAGGCTGCTTGACTATACAAGCCATAAGTGTGCACCATAGTGGAAGAATAACAGCAGTGTATGAACTCGCCACCAAACGCAGAAGACGATTCGATATCCTTTCATGCTTTCTGTGAGAGATGGCACGCTAAGTTGCTGGCCTTGCATCTAGGTATTGCCGGCTTGCTGTATGTGTATAAGGAAAGAGTAGTTGCACCATAATGAGTGATAAAATGGTTCCAGAGCTTTGCATATTTTTCTTCTTTTCAAGCTCCAACAATCGACTGCTCGTGCTTTAAAAGACGTTGAAGCAAATATAAGAGCGCATATTTATTTATTTATTGGTACCCTCAGGGCTTACAAGAAGCATTGTAGAGGGGAGGGGCTGAAGTAAATGAAAACACTATAAGGAATACACAGAAAAAGTGGCACTAAGAGATAGAGCACAAAAGGAAACAAACTAGATAAGTTTATACATGAACTAACAAAAGAAAATAGGACGAAAAAATACACTTTGACGTCGCAATCACAGTGAATGTCAGTGCATGTTGCACAAAAAATAATCGACTGATGCCTTTTCAATACACATGTTCAAAAAAAAAAAAAAAAAAAAAAAATATAAAATACACATGTTCAAAAAAAAAAAATGATACATAAAAAAGCAAATTTTATCGAGTTACACACACAAAAAGAAAACATCAGTGCAAGGCAAAAAAAAAAAAAAAAAAAAAAAAAAAAAATTTGTTGAGATCAAGACCTGTACAGAGATAGGTGGTAAAGAAGTAAATTGCAGTTTCAGTGTGTTGTAAATGCATTTGTGAACGTGATGCAGCTTTATAGCGTGTTCGTTAATGCTTTCCGGAAACGGTCAGGGTCTCTGATTGCGACTAGTGACGCAGGCAGGTGATTCCATTCATAAGATGTTTTTGGCAAGAATGAATATGAGTAGGTGACTGTGCGCTGTGATGGTACGTGAACTTTGAAAGGGTGGTCGACACGTGGGGAGATATAGGATGCGGATGTGATGTATCGGGACTTCAACTCATTGTTATGATAATATATTTTATGAAAAAGGCAAAGACGGGATAACCTCCTACGAGAAGAAAGAAGGGGAATGCCAAGTGTTCGTTTCATGTCAGTGACACTGGCAGTTCGATGGTAGTTGTGAAGGATGAAACGGACCGCTCGATTTTGCACATTTTCAATTATGTTTGTCAGACTAGCATGACCAGGATCCCATATGGAGCATGCGTATTCAAGGTTAGACCTAACATAAGTAATGTACAGCTGTTGCTTTAACTTCGGGGGAGCTAAGGAAAAATTACGTTTTAAATAACCAAGCATGCGGTTAGCTTTCGATGTAATGTATTCTATGTGTCTTTTCCATGAGAGATTGTTAGTAATATGCACACCAAGATATTTATAGGATATTACTTGATCAAGTGAAGTATTATTCAGTAAATAATTAGGGCATGCTGAAATACTACGGGAAATTCTCATTGTTTTGCATTTAGACGTGTTAAGGTCCATAACCCAGAGCTTACACCATGTCGAAATGTTATTAAGATCATTCTGCAGTGTTAGGGTATCATTAGGGCCTTCAATCTTGCGATATAAAACACAATCATCGGCAAATAAACAGATGGAACTTGTGATTTGGTTAGGAAGATCATTGATGTATATTAAAAAAAGTAATGGTGCTAAAACAGAGCCCTGAGGTACGCCTGAGTCAACCGGTACTTCAGGAGAGTTTTTATCATTAATGCTGACATATTGCGTTCGGTTGGATAGAAACTCTCGAATCCAATTGAAAACCAGGGGATCAATGCTTAACTGGCTGAGTTTAAATAAGAGTAAGCGGTGACTGACGCGGTCAAAAGCCTTGGCGAAATCTAAAAATATGCAGTCTACTGTAAAACCATTGTCTAGAAATGCGTGAAGATCATTGCAAAATGTTGCTAGCTGTGTTTCGCATGAGAATGTCTTACGAAACCCATGCTGACTACTATGAAAGAACTTATTCGATTCTAAAAAATTGACCAGATGGGAGAAAATGACGTGTTCGAAAATCTTACAAGGAATTGAAGTCAGGGAAATAGGTCTATAGTTTTGAGGGTTGTGTGTGTCACCGGATTTATGAAGTGGTATCACCTTGCCTGTTTTCCAGTCTTTAGGTAGGGAACTACTGTTCAGTGATTTCGTGAAAATAAGGTTTAGTAGGATGGAACTATATTCGGCGGTAGCCTGCAAAAATTTCGACGTGATGCCATCAATACCGCACGAGGACGATCTCTTTAAATTGTTAATGATGGAGCGGATACCAGACGAGTCAAGTAAAATGGGTTCCATGGGAACGTAGCTAGGCGCAGTGAAACGTGGACAGATGTCAGGGTGAGTAGCACAAAATGAACGGGCAAAAACAGTGTTAAGTGTGGAAGCGCACTGGCTGCTTGGGATTGACTCGCCAGATTTATCAGTAAGAGCTATAGTTAGATTATCCCGGTTTCTCACGACATTCCAAAAGCGTTTTGGGTTGCTTTGGAGCAATGACGGAAGTGTATTATTATAAAATTTAAACTTAGTTTCTTTTAATGCACTGGAGTATGCTTTTGCCGCGGTTGTATAAGTGGACCACTTATCAGCAGATGACGATTTCTTGGCGGCACGAAAGAGCCTTTTTTTTTTGTTAGACAGCCGGTTGAGGTACCTTGAATACCATGGCGCGTTGGATGAATGATAAACCTTCCTTACAGGGATATGCTTTTTTATTAGATGCAGTGCTTTGTCTTTGAAACACGTCCATATTTTCTCGACCGTAGCATCATTGTAAGAAAGACAAAAGCTGTCGAGAAATGAGGAAAGCTCGGTGTTGATAGCCTCAAAGTTGGTCTTATTGTAATCCTTTATAAGTTTAAAGCGATTGCTCCTTCTATTCCTCGGTACAGAAATGGAAAAATGTAGCACGTCATGGTCACTCAACCCTGGCAAGTGAGTTATTTCAGATGCAATATCTGGTGATGAGGTGAGTATCAAATCTAGTAGGTGTGATGTGCTAGGAGTAACACGGGTGGGAATACGCACTAATTGAGATAGATTGTAATCCAAACAAGTGGTTAGGAAATAACTCGTTTCAGCTGAAGCAGGCTCTGCAAACGGGCATGGATGAGACCATTGGATTGATGGAAAATTAAAATCTCCTAGAAGAAAAACTGGAATACCGGGAGTTAATGCCGAAATATGACTTAGGCAATCATGTAATTCTTCGCAGAAAGAGCCGTTGGAATTAGGCGGGCGATAGCAAATGCCAAAAACAATTTTTTGAAAACAAATCGTCACGTAGCACCAGACAATTTCTAATCTACAAGGGATTTTCAGAAGTGTACATTGAAAACACTCATTCACAGCAATAAGGACCCCACCACCCCTTCTTTCGGAGCGATCACATCGATGTACAGTGAAAGTTTTGTGGCACTGAAAAAGCTCACTTGTTGCAATTTGATCGGAAAGCCAGGTTTCAGACAAAAGAATTATGTCAGCATCCGTGTCATTAATTAAAGCACTTAGGCGGTCTCTTTTCGGAATAAGGCTGCGAATATTAGCATACAGGATTGAAAGCTCCGATGGTGAAGATGAGCCACCACCCCTCACACTGTCCTAGCTAGTGTTAGAATAAGGACGACCTGATCTGGTCGCCCTAGGGCTAGAGAAAACGGCAACTTGTGGGGAAGGTGCCTCGCAGACGACGTTGGTGCGAGCATCATACACATAGCATTTATTTTGTGCATATAATTTTTTGTACCGCAACTTAAACGGTTTTTTTAAAGCAATGCCAAACTCTGTCAGCTTTTTACGAGCTTCACGAGTTGATACAGAGAAGTCTTCAGAAAGGCCAATGCCACTACCTCGTAAATAGATTTCTTAGACAGTAGTAGCATTTTTGACTTGGAATTTGAAAATTTAGCAATGAGGGGTCTATTTTTACCTGCCAAGTATCTGCCTATTCGGTGTGCTCGTGCTATGTCATCGGGTGATAAGCGAACATCCAACCTGTCACGGGCCATCGTGATAATTTTTTCTTCTGACTGGTGCGCTTTCTCGTCTGGCACGTCAGGTAAGCCATAAAATAGCACATTATCACGTCGAGACCGATCTTCAGCCTCGTCAAGCCGGGCTTGTAGATCAATTGTCTCTTGTTCCACGCGAATTAGTGATTGGCGCGTGATAGATAGTTCTTGCTGTACATTTGGAAGATCGCTAATCCGTTTTTCTACTGTTTGTAGCCGTACGGTAATGTCAGCCACAGCAGTTGCAACTGTCTCATGGGAAACCTTAAGATCAGACAATGCCTGTGACATGCTCGATTGGTTAGTCTCGATTCTAATACAACGCTCATTTGTCTCTTTAACCAACTGAATTAGTTCCGTTAGGGTCTTGTCAGGCCCAGGGTTTTCCTCAATGTCCCCACAAAGCATAAGCAGCAAAGAAGAAAAAGGTTCAAGCAATGCTTCTGGGCACGGAAGCACAATCGCAAATCGGTCACTAGTCTTGTAACATTTGCAAGGCAAGAGAAAGGAATCACCAACCTGCACAACAAGAAAGATGTGCCGTAAGTTCTTCATTCTGTCTGTGCATCCGTGCCCACTGGCGGGGTGGCAAGTGGCGTGTGCTTTTAAACCATCCACTATCAGTCGTGACGATGTCACTGACGTTGTACTGCGTGGCTCATGGAAAGGGCAAGCCGTGGCGCTGTTGAGAAGACTGGGCGCGGCGCTTTCAAACACGCATGAAGAATCGGTGGCTGCGCAGATGACATCCACGTACGCCGAAGTCGAGCCGCAAAACGGAATTTCGACCGCGGGAAGCGATCGATGATCCAAGGGATGGCTTGCAAGAACGCCCACA